GGGAGAAGGAATGGGGGTGAGGGGAGGGAGAGGGAGAGGGGAAGTACATGTGAAACAAGCCTGTTCCCTAACTTGAATTAATAATAATAATAATAAAAAGAGAAAAAAATGCACAAATAGACCATCTTTCCAGAGAAGATGATCATGGGTTTTAAACACATGGTGAGATAAAGTCCTTACTATAATTTATGCATTGTAAAGAAATCAGAGTCTGAAGCAACTAAGAGGAGACAGAGAAAAGAAGTCAGTTTTGAGAAAGAATTATGATTTCAGCCAGTGAGATGCCTCTGATCCTGGCGTACTTAGAGTGAGAATGGTCCCCATTAGGCTCATATATTTGAATGTTTAGTCCTCTTAATGGAACTTTTGAGGAAGGATTGGGAGTTGTGGTCTTGCTGGAGCAGGTATTATTTGGTGTAGGCTCTGGGGTTTCAAAAGCCTACTGGTGCTGCAGTCTTTTTCTAGTCTTCTCTCTCCTCTCTCTCCTCTCCCCCCCTCTCTCTCTCTCTCTCTCTCTCTCTCTGTTGTGTGTGTGTGTGTGTGTGTGTGTGTGTGTGTGTGTGTATCTCTAGCTCTATCTCTCTCCTGTTTGCTGCCTGCAGATCAGGATGTAAAGCTCCCAGTTACTACTACGGCGCCATACTTGTTTGCTTTCCACATGATGATCCTGGACAACTAACCCTCTAAAACTATAAGCTCCCAATTAAATGCTTTCTTTATAATACTTGCCTGGGTCATGATGCCTCTTCACAGTTAAGACAGCTGGTAAAGGCAATTGCCATGCAAGCCTGGTGACCTAAGTTTGATCTCTGGAACTCACATACATGAGGAAGGAGAGAATTGATTCCAGAAAATTGTCCTCTGATCTCCACATGTAAGAACTATGGTACACACACACACACACACACACACACACACACACACACACACACACACACACACACACACACACACACACACACACGCATGCACACACGCACGCACGCACACACACACGCACATGCACCAATACTAGTAGTAATGGTGATGATGATTACTGTATTATAAATTAAAAAGAAAGAAGCCATCATACTTCATCTAGGAATTTAAACATCCATAAAATAAATAATGACATTTAAGTCATAGGCAATGGAGAACTATCAACTTTGTTTACCTCAAATGTATTCAGAAGTAAAACTGCACTTTTATGTGTTATTGCTACAATCCACGTGACAAATAACTATGGTCATGACTAGGATAAACTATGAAAGTGACAGGGAGGGGGTGGTTCAATCCTAGCAACAATAAAAATTCATGGCCTGATTAAGTGACAGTTAGTGAAAACAGTCCCACATGACTAGATAAAGATGGAAATCATCCTTATAAAAAAGAGGAATTGTGTCTGGGCCATGTTGAGTTTGAGATGTTCAGTCTGCATTGGGGTGATTTGGGTTGGAGAAAACAGATTGTGAATCACTACTTCTTATAATAGATACTGATTATCAGCCTTGGGGCTATTAACAATCTGTCAGGAGATCCTGAAAATGAAGCATACTTTTTAGGTATGTGGCTGTATATATGAAAGTAATAAGCAAGTGACATTAAAAGCCATGTCTGAAAAGTCTGCCTTATCACGATTCCATAGAGCTGTTTACTAGTTACTTCAAATTTGTTAACAAAGACTGAGGAAATTCATCTCAGAATGTGTGATACTCCCAAAAATTTTTTAGAATTTCATAATTGAAATGAGTCCTTTGGTCTGTGTTCTTTTTTTATTTTTTTATTTATTTTATTTTTTGGTTTTTCGAGACAAGGTTTCCCTGTGGCTTTGGAGGCTGTCCTGGAACTAGCTCTTGTAGACCAGGCTTGTCTCGAACTCCCAGAGATCCGCCTGCCTCTGCCTCCCGAGTGCTGGGATTAAAGGCATGAGCCACCACCGCCCGGCTTGGTCTATGTTCTGACCTATTGAAAGATACCTGAATTTTATTTAGAGCTGGAAAAACATATTTGCATAAATTGGCTTAATAATACTGCTATTAACATAATCTTACAAAGGAGAATAACCACATACTGTTCAGAGGCAGATGGGAGGGGTATTTCTGATACTTGGCAAACTCTGATAAGCTTATGATTAACATTTACACAGTTGTTGCACTAAGCAGGGAATCTGTTAAAAATGTAGAATTCATTATTCCACATTTTAGAAGATACCAGTTCATCCTCCAACTAACATTTAGAATAACATTTTAGAAATAATACTTCTCAAATAGGTACTTCATTAGCTAAAATGGAGTCATACTTGGGTTTTAAAAATATAAATAGTAAAACAGGCATCAGTGTCAAAGAACTAGAAAAAGACATTGCTCTCAAAGAGACAGAAAGTTGATTTAATCAGGATTTCTCATTTTGGAACTTTGTTTGCAAATATCTGAACAGTGTGTTCGGTCCCCTTTTCCCCTTTTTCATGGATTTCGTGTTGCGAGTCCTCACATGCTTGGTTTTGGGTGGAGCCGTTTGTCTTGTTTTGGTGGTTTCAGAACCTGTACCCCGTATGAACTCAAGCCAGGACACCCCTGGAGGTAACCGGTGGTAACTTCTTACCTTGGCAACGACATAACCCGAGAGCGGAGGTGGAGCAGGTTCTTTACAAGGAGAGGGTGAAGAGGGAGAGCCAATAGACAAAGAGGAGGAATAAGAGGAAATGGAAGAGCAAGAAGATGATGATGATGATGACGGGGCGGGAACTGGGGTTTGGGGGTGAATGTTACTACTGTTTTTGACATAGAACAGCCAATCTATTGCCTCGGGCTCTTGGCTTGTATCTTTGTCCTCAGCGGATACAGCCAACCATTTTTTGTTTGTCTTGAGCCCCTGGATGAAATCGGATTCAGATTCAGGGAAAAACTGTGTTATCTTCTCTAATTCTTCAAGATTTTCATCTAAGGCTTCTAGATTTTCTTCATGTTGACTGTCTTTCATGGGGAGTTGGTAACAGGATGAGGAAGAAGTCTCTGGTAGAGAAAGGATAAGAACCATTTTCACATCTACTTTTCCATCAGAGCTGCTCTCAGGTGTTGGTATGACAAAGAGTGTTGCACATCGAGGATCTTTCTTTCCTGTAAGGTGGTTACACTGAGATTTTACGCAGGAAGCACAATCTAAACAAACAGTGTATGTTGACGAAAGTCGGGGACCAGGACGAGGATTTGGCCTTCCCCTCATTCTTCGAAAGAGAATTTGCCTAGAGAGGTCTTTCTGGATTGTAGTCTTGGAGATAGAATTGACAATTTTATTTACAACATCAGCAGGGACAGTACCACCTTTAATAATGCAGGGATGACTATAATCTAAGGACCATGTGCTTTCATTCTCCGGTTCTGGCTTCACAATTTGTTCACAGTTACCTTTACTCTGTAGTTTGGAACCTGGAATGAAAGCATTTTTGTTCTTGATGCAGGGCTTGGGACTTGATACTCTTTGGCCTGAGAGATTTGGTTTAGGATGAACTGGGGATAGTTGACGGGCTTTGTGTTTGTCATTGGCTGAAGCTGTACTGTGGACCTTGGGGTGACATATAGGTGATGGGAGAGTCCCGGCTCTATGATCACATCTGAGCACTGCTTTAGGCTTTGGCTGGCATGCTGGTAAATTCTGAGGTAGATGAACAGAATGTGATGATAAAGGTGATTTCCTTGATTTTACTTGGGACAATGGCAAATTCAGAATATTGTTATTAGAGTTTGATACAGGAACTTTCAGAGGTTTACTGTCAGACAATGGTGAATTGTGAGACATTCGATTGCCCTCCAGAGAAGATGAAGTTGGAATAGAGTCATTTCTGTGAAGTTTGTTGTTTAATGGTGGTGTGGTCAAAGCTTTTGGATTGGATTCTGATAAAGATGATAAAAGGAAGTCCAATGAGGAGCCCTTCTGTGATTTAGTTTTACATACCGTTGAGTTAAGTTCACTTTGACCCAATTCCAAAGAAGATGAAGCCCAGAAGACACTGAGGGAAGGTGATTCTTGATGTTGAGAGGAAGATGAAGATGATGTTGAGACTCTTTGTTTAGACTCCAATAAGGGTATTTTCCGGCAAAAGTCAATACTTGATGATGTCTGAGTCTTCTGGGGGGGTAATCTTGATCTCAGAGATATTGGGCTAGTTTCCAAAGATGAAGTCTTGGTAAAGCTAGATAAAGATGTTGTCTGAGGTTTGTGGTGAGACAAAGTTGAGTCTAAGCATTTCCTAGAGGGATTAAATGAACCTTTCAAGTAGGGATCTTTTGAAGATGTTCCTGGATATTTGGAGTGTGAAGATGATGATTTCATAGCCCTGCTATAGGAGCCATGAAACCCTTTAGAGATCGGAGATGGCAATGTCGAGAAGCTCTGGGCCTTTTTGCTATAGGTTGATGGGGATACTGTGACTGTATTTTGAGATTGTTCTTTGCACACAGGTTGGCTTTTGCATTGGTTTAGTGTATTACTTGTGTATTGATATGCAGGTGAATTGTTTGTACTTTGTTGCTGAGAGTTGTCTAAATGCACAAAGCGGTGATCGTGATATGCCAATGGCACCATCTTGTGCTGCAGCAGAGATCTTTTGAGAAGCAGTTTGCTTACAAGGATGTTTTACTAACAGTCTTTAGAGCAAGAATCCATGGACAATGGGCACTTAAATAAGCCCTAGTAGTTCTAATTTCTATCTTGTTATGTTCGTGTTAGCAGTAAATGTTGTAGAATATATCACAATGAAACAGTAAATGAAATTGGGGAGGGGATGTCACCACTTAAGATTATCCTCTGTCTTCCATTTAATTTCCAAGAGCTATTGGTTTTTTCCTCTTTGTGTCTCTTTAAGGAAAAATTCCTGTTAACAAAATAGTAAAGAATTTAGAAGAGGTTCTTACTGGATATAATTTTCTCAATCTGTAGTGACTAGAACACAGCGCTTATAAGATGAAACCAAGAATGTATGCCCAACCACCTCACATATCTTTTTAATTAATTTATCTAAGCTCATTACACACCCATAAAACAACTCAATGATACATCAGTAAACGTCATCAAAATGTGATAGACAAAATGAAAACTGAAGAAGTCAATACCTGCAAAGAATGTATATTAAATAGAAGGCTCGTGTACTGCTCTAGGGATATAAATTGGCAAAGTCTGTTTGAGAAATTCCCTAATTAGATCCATTAATTTAGTTTCATTATTACAGAGAGAATTACCACTACAAAGAACATTACAGCAGACATACATGCATTGAGCAAGGCATTCTTTGATTTGTTTTTTTAATAATAAATACAAACTAGAATCAAGTGCTGATCAATAATAGAATATGTAAATAATGTGTAGTCAAGGGTCGGTACCAGACTGGTAAAACCCACAGAAACAGCTGGCTTGAACAAGGGGGAGCACATTGACCCCAGACTGCTGTCTGTGAGTCCAGTACAGGACTGATCCAGACCCCTGATCATGATTGTCAATGAGGAGGCCTCTGCACTCTAGGGCGCCCCTGGTAGTGGTTTAGTATTTTCCCTGGTGTAAGAAGGGACATTGAGAGCCTATCCCACATGAAGGGATGCACTCTTGGCCTGGACACACAGGGAAGGGCCTAGGCCCGGCCGAGGATGATGTGGTGGACTTTGGGGAGCCTCTGTTGAGAGCCCTACCCTGCCTGGGGAGTGGAGGGTGGATGGGGTGGGGAGCAGGACAGGGATGAGGGAGGAGGGGTGGGGGTGAGGGGCAGGAGAGGGAGAAGGGATTGGCTTGTGAAACAAGCTTGTTCCTAATTTGAACTATTAAAAAAAGAAAAGATATATAAAACAATGAAAATTAACAGAAAATACAACACTAATGCAACTGCCTACATGAATCTCACATGGAGGATATTAAGTAAGAGAATCATATATAGCCACTAGCTATTTCATGATTTTATGAATGAAACAACAAAAGTTAGCAACCCTAACCACATGGCTGAAATGAGTGTGCTTGCTGAGGTAAAGATCAGGAGCGAGCACAAAGGCATGTCTGGAAGGCAGTGCTCTTCTGCTTCTGAACCTGATCCTGATGAGATAAATGAATTCACTGGGTGCTAATTGAGCCCTAACACTTATGTTATGTGCATTCTTGTAGATCCCTTCACTAAAATAAAAAGTGTTAAGGTAGATGACTTGAGGCTAATTAGAAAAGACACATCTGAAACAGAACTACGCTGAAAGGTGAAGCATTAAAGAACAAACCAAGATCTGGCTCACAGATGTGATGAACCCACACTCCATCCCCCCACAACCCACAGCCCCCCCCAAAAAAAAGTGGAGAAAAGGAGAGGAAGAATGCAAGGTAGAAATCCTGCTAACCTATCAACAAGAATAAAGAAATTCAAAACAGTTGGAAAGAGTAGGAAGAACCTAAAGGCAAAAACCCATAGAAAACATGTCTAAATAGTTCTACTTTCAGAATTACTCAGCAAATGTCATTTCTATTTCAAAAGAATATCTTGCAATTAGCACAGAAGTATATTACAGATAGCAAAAGAAATGTGCTAGAACTCTGGGTAAAGCTAAATTACTTCGGGAAAAACGAACACCAATATAAAATCATTAAGTCAAATATTCCCTATGATCTAACGCTTTTATTCTTGAGTTGAATCAAATGTTCCACCAATAATTATAATAATAAATGTCTTCAGAGTAAGGTAAATCTAGAAAAGTGTGCAATTTGTTCTATGAAAAATGCGTATAATTCATATATTTAAGGACAACAATGGTACCTTTTAAAGGAAAATAATATATTCACAAGTGGAAATAACTGAAATCCTCAATCATTTTTAATGTGTGCATGGGTGCTTTGCCTGTATGTGTGAATGTGTACCATGTGCATGCCTGGTTCTTGGAGACCAGAAGATGGCTTTGGATTTCTTGAAACTAGAGTTTGGACAGTTGTGAGCTGTTATGTGATGCTGGGAGTTGAATCTGAGTCCTTGGGAAGAGCATCCAGTGCTCTTAACCACTGAACTACCTCTCCAGCCCACCTTAATGTTTTTAATTTTTAATGTTTCTGTTTTGACCTTTCAACTAATTTTATCATTTTCCCTTTTCTTTCACTTCCTCCTAACCTTCCCCTATACCCCTCTTTTCTATTTTGTGTCTTTCAAATTCATGTGTCTTTCTCACGTGTGTATGTGTGTGTGTGTGTGTGTGTATGCATTTGTGTTTGTTAATATTAATTGCACTTACATATTTTATGCTTTCAGGGATGACCATTTGGTATTGAGTAACCAATTGGTGTGTTCTTCCCTGGGGAGACTATGCCTCCCACTTGTAGAATCCTTTATTTGCCTATAGTTCTGTCAAGGGTTAAGCCTGTGAGCTTTCTACCTTCCATGTTAGCCTGTGTGTTGATGTCATCACTATTCAGGTCATATTTAGGCAGCCATGTTGTTAAGACTTCGTGGATGTCATTTCTGACATGTCTAGGGCACATGATCTCTCAGCAAACTTTGTATTCCTTTGGCTTTTCTAATCTTTCAGTCCCCTCTTTCACAATGATCCCTGAGACTTGGGGGCAGGATTTGTGTTGTAGATGTATCTCTTGGGACTGGGCTCCACAACTCTGCATTCTGATTGGTTGTGATGTTCTCTAATGGTCTTTATCTGTTGCAAAGAGAAGTTACCTTGAAAAGGATGAGAACTATACTTATATGTGGGTATAAGAAAAATCATTAAGAATGTATTTAAGGATTAATCAGGTTTAGTGATGGACTAACTGTAGGTTCTTCTCCAAGATCCATGATTTCTCTAGCCCTGGGTAGTTGGCTAAGTTTCCAGTTCAGGCATGATTTCCACAGAAGGTATACCCAGTGAACTTTGAGATGCTTGGAGTTAGGATACTAACAAAAGTTTTTTTTCTTTCTAATATGTTTGGTCTATTCGCACAAATATTACTTATAATACCATTCCTAACACAAACATTAAATAGCCTTCTCACCAAGCAGAGAACAGTTGGTCAGATAGAAAACACTTGCCATTCTACTGGAAAATGTTCACCAGGTATGGTTAGAGCTTTGTAGATGCAACCCACATCCACCATGTAATTTTTCAACTCTGGCAGAAGGATGGCTCTGGTGGAGGTCCAGAACATCTATGAGAGCTTCCAGGGGCTAGCAATAACAGGTAGGCATGTGTGAGATCTGGAATGGTGAACAGTCAGGAACTCAACAGTCACCAAAGCCAGGACCACACATGGGGGCCAGTCTCAATGTGCTCTTCCCACTGGGTATCAGACTAGAAGCTTCAGTCTTAGTCATGTCGTGGGAGCACAGCATAGTAATTCTAGGGACCATTTCAAATTGCAACAGGTGGAGACCATTCAAAAACCACCAAAAGTTGTCAAAATACAAATAGTAACTGATGTGAGGTTCTGAGACAAACAGGCTTATCTACGACACAAGTCTTGCACCTAAATTTCAAGGAACATCATGGGAGAGAGTATGGCGAGATTGTAAGAGGCAGAGGATCAGGAAGTCTTCTGTAAAATTTTAACTCCTAGAAATAACAGGAAAGTTGCATCCATGAAGCGTCAACAATATAGCTGCCTGAACAACAGCAATGAAAATATTGAAATACATGCTCATGTGGAAGGAGGAACTCTCATAGGGCTCTAACCCTAGACAAAGAACTTGAAGTAACTAGTAACTACTGAAAAGGTAGAATTCATTATCTTCAGGAATGAGCACCTAATTGGTTTTCCAATTCTAAGAGGTCAGCTACAAAATCGTTTACGTACATGCAACACTAAACAAATTCAGTTGGTTGTATTTACTTATCTGTGGATCAATATAAATGTGTAATGATAAAAAAGAAAAGGATGCCATGAATATGAGAGGAAATATGAGCATACATGGAGGGAATGAGAAGCATGAATGGGAAGAGAGTAATATATAATTACATTTTAATTTAGAAAATAAAATATGTTTAAAAAGTAAAAATGATAACACAATTTGTAATACTTTTATAATATATTTTTAAATGAGAAACACAAGACATATTTCAACAAATTTCTGTAATACATATAAAAAGGATTAATGTCATGGTGTGGGCAAAAAAAGACAGAAATTGTCATACTATTTGATACATTCAAGCATAGAGATTAAATAAATGAGCTATGATACTTTAGATTAGCTACTAGACCAACAAGCTGACATTAACTAAAAAATTCACAAAGTTCTGTGAAATTCTTATTGTTGTTCCAACAGTTACATCTTTGTTTTGATAAATGACATCAGTTCACTTAATGAAAACCCTGAAGACCCTCCTAAAAAATTAGTGAAATATAAAAGAAAACAGTTAATTTGTGGCATGCAAAATAAATATACAAAGATCAGTTGTATCTTTTACACATATGTTAATAACAAACACAAAAGTCAAGACTTTTTTGAGTTTTCCCTCCTGGTTTCATTCTTGACAAATAATTGACATAGAAAAAAGATCTCTTAATGTTTGCATGTTAGTTTTGTAGCTTGCAAAGTTACTAGAAGTGCGTATTAGTCTTGAGAGTTTCTTAGTGAATTCTTG